AACAACATGGGATTGTTTGTTGTTGTTAAATTGTTTGCATTGTTGCATTGTTTTTATTATAAATTTATGTTTAGAAATGAATAAAACACTTATGCAAATGAAATTGCATTAAAAAACTGCGTATAACGGACAATTTTTTTTGGATTTGAAATTATCTCTCTATATAACGGAAACTCTATATAACGCAAAATATTTTTGGTCCCTTCCATTCCGCTAGAGAGAGAGGGAGTCGACTGTATATATGTCGTAGCCGCTAACGAAATTCAGCCGTTAACGAATGATTCGTAATCGGCTAGCCGCTAACGAATCATTCGTTAACGGCTAGCCGATTACGAATGAAATTTTTTGCTAGCCGTGCACGATTTGTAATCGACTTCTGCGAACATGGCTTAATTCAAATTAGCCTTTGATTTCAAACTATTTATGCAAAACGCAAATCAGCAAACTAATCACAACGAGTGACATAAAATTTATAACATTTAACATTTATAACATATTAACGTTTATAACATAATAACATTTATAACTAACAAAACATCAACTAAAATGCATAAAAACAAACTGTTTATTTGTTGGTGCAAGAATTACTGTGATGACATCGGCTATTGCAGAGCATATTGGTTTTGAGGCACACACATCGTCCATTCGTGCATCCATTTGTGATAAACCATTTTGATAAACCATCAGAAACTTGTTGTCGCGGTCCGGAACCGATTGAAGATCAATTAAGTCGACTTGGCAGCGTTCATTTTGCTCCTTCGCTATGATCGACTTCACAACAACTCCTTTTTTTGGTGTCCCCTTCTTTAATTCACATTCCGGGCAAAGTTTGATAAAAATCTCGAGTATTTCCTTTGAGATCCCGTGATAATCTCCTCGCAGTTCTTTCCACATCAGGTCCCGGCCGGCGTGTCCTAGTCTTTTGTGAGTTGACGTCAAAACATCGAAGAGTTCTTCTTTCTTGACGACTCGTTTTGGTTGTTCGTTCTCTCCTTTGTTTCCATGATTGTAGAGTATCATTGATTGCTCAATACATTGAATCGAGTAACGACGTGCCCAATTCGCCTCTTCTGTCGTTCGCTTCCGTTTCTCGCTTTCACTTTCACTTGACATTGTTGTCAATATGTTCACAATTTCATCGTATTTTTTCGTCGTTAGTATATGCGTTCGCTTTTTCAGAATTTGATACGCGTCAAGTTGGTTGAGAAATGAATTCATCCTGAAAAAAAACAAATATAATAAAGCAAGTATAATGAAACCAAAGCAAAAAAGCAGAAAGAAAATTAATCCGAAATCACTGATAACAATGGGAAGGACTCATCCCGGAGGACCCAATTTCAGCAAAGGGGTATTTTGAAAACTTTTAATAGCTCGCTTCAAAATCAAATTTTTTCTCTTTTCTTTTTTTGTGTCAAAAATTTGAAACCAAAAAGGTGGTAAGTTCATTTGAATCTAGCCATGTTCGCAGAAGCCAATTACAAAGATTTCGTACACATCTAGTGAAAAAAATTTCATTCGTAATCGGCTAGCCGTTAACGAATGATTCGTAAACGGCTAGCGAAAAATTTCATTCGTTAGCGGCTAGCCGTTAACAAATCATTCGTTAGCGGCTGAATTTCGTTAGCGGCTACGACATATATAAAACAGCAGTGTCGGTGTCTTTTGGCCAAAAAGCTGAAATCTTCTAAAAAGTCTGAAAATATAATACAGTTGTGCCATTTAAAATCAAAAATTTTAAAAAAATGAAAATTGAGTGACACCGGGTCGAACCCGGGTCGTGTGGGTCGTGTGGGTGTAGATAAGCACGCTCCCGACTGCGCCACGGCGACAAAAACTACCCATGAAATAATTTGAATATTTGAAAGCTTTTTCATGAATGGAACTCAAGAAGTCTAAGGGAAAGTCAAAAATCGGGGCCCACCCACTTCCACAAATGGCAACGGAAATTGTTGGATTCTAAGAACACAAAGATTCGATAAGATTACTACAGGTGGTGCAAGTAAATTCTACAATTCTCACAAAACAAGGGTTCGATAAGATAACTACGAGTGATGGGTCAAAATTCCTACAATTCTTACAAAACTCTACATCTAGAACTAGGCCAACGACCTTACTAAAAGTTTATAAGTTTCATTTGGCTTTCGTTTTAAATTCGAATTTTACTTGAAAAAGTTCTTGAGGAGAATTGTTTTCTGAAAGGTGAAGCTTTATTCTGAACCTGATTTTCATCCAGTACTTTGAGCCTTTAAACCCATCCTATTTATTTCTGGATTAAAGGTTTCTAATATTCCAGACATTTTTACTGCTCAAGATTTGCCAATGGGTATAAAAAGAAGATAAGATTCGCCAATGGGTACAATCTGCTCTGAATATTTTCTGAATATTTTTCTGCTAAAGATACTCAGCTAGCCGGCCAAATGCATATTCGCCAATAAATATAGAATCCGAACAGGCTGCGATTCTTGCATTTTCTTCTCTTATTTTCAAGAGGAAGCCCCAATCTTTTTGATCGATTTTGGTAGTTCGGAGTTAAAATTTTTTCCTCGTCATGGTTATCCTGGTGCCTGAGCCGAGTTATTTAGAGATTATTTAGGATCTTGTCTAGAAGTTTTCATTTTAATCGTTTTCATTCTGATTCTAGTTCTTTCAATTCTAATTGTTTTCACCAAATTTAATTCTTTTTTATTTACAGGTAGAACGACGCCAAGCAAATTACGGTTCAAAATGCGAAAGCTGACGTCATTCCCGATGGAGAAGCTCTGTTACGACCTAAAGTTAGAGGTGTTGGAGGAAACCTTGCCAGAAGAGACGATTGAATTGATCAAGGTGAATGCTGGATTTCGATCGATTCTGCTCCGAACACCCTGGATAGTTTTTGGACATCACGTGGCCCGGATGGATTTCGGATCTGGGGGTTGGGTTCTAATCGAGAAAGACTACGGCGATATGCGCCAATTTGATACCGATCTCCACTTTCCATTGATGAAACGAATCCACTCGTGTAACAGCTTGTCAATAGACTTGGGCCCCAAAGAATTCATCGACACACAAGCGATGATTCTGAATCAATTGAAATATCAATCTGTAAAATGTTTGACGCTTTGCGGGGACGGCTTTGCGGGTACCACGAACGAAACGAATTTCCGAAAATTTCTTGAGAATTTCCGCTCGATGATTGAAATACAAGCATTTATTCATGTAGACATTGAGTTGTTAATACAGAATCAAGTGATCAGCAGCCTTTTTGAGAATTTCATTGCGAATCAAATGAATGACTGCGAAAGCGTTGATTTTTTTTGTCATTCCGTAGCTGCTTTTCACTTCTACATCGATGCTTTTGCCAAGACTTCGATCAAATGCATGATATTATTGCGGTGCTCGGATCACTTTGAAGATATCGTGCGATCAATTGTTGAAAAGCGAATCCCACGCAAGAATTTGAAGACGGCTTTTCGTCTGCTAACCAATTATTCTCAGGAAAGAAACGCCCCAATCATCGACCTTCTTTCTCAATTCCCTGGAATAAAGCGATTTGACGGAAAAAATAAGCAAGAAGTCATCGAAATGTTGGGGGAACTCGGGAGAAAGCATCTGGAGCCGCTTGCTCTCACGAACATTATATTTTTTCAACGAAAAATTGACTCGAGTATGGACTATGTCTACATGTTGTCATCGAGTTTTTTTCATACAGGCTTTTTCGCCTTCTATGTTCAGCCACGATCGGAAATGATGGAGTCTTGAGAGTTTTCATTTCAAAATCTTCTGGGCAGCCGGCACAGAAATCGTCAAAAAGAATCGATCTTTTTTTGTTGTAAATTGCTGCTTCTTTTTGTGTAACGCATTGTTTGTCAAATTTTCCTCAAAATTTCAATCATCATCTTTTTTGGTCAAAAATAAATTTTTATAAATAACCAATTAAAAGTGAAATCAAAGAAAAAAGCAAGACAAGCTAAGGAATCGGATACACATCGGATGGAGAACGGAGGGATTGCCGTATTGTCTCCACTCTTGCTTGGTTTTATTAGAGGTACAAGGTTTCATTGAAGTTGTTAAATTATGTAAGAAAGTGAATCGCGTCTAGGTTGTTAAATGGGAGAGTCAGGCCAGGACCCTGGATCTGGTTTCTGGATATTTTGCTTGACTCTACATGGGTATAGAAATTTTAGACTGAATTACCAAATTATGGGCCGCACACAACCTGTGTGAAATATTGAATATTTTACGTAGATCGACGGACGCGATAAAAGGAGTAACTCTGCATTGAACTCGATAAAAATTCTTGATTGGATGAATTTCATCATTCCCGATTGTAGTGGAAGGTAGAAGGCAGAAAAAGTGGTGGTGAATGGTGGAAGCAATGAGATTCTCACAACTTGAACCATCTTTCTTTCGTTGCTATTTCTGTGTCTCTCAATTGGAATAATATATGACCAGCCGAATTGTGGAATGTTGGGCTATGTTGACGGCTTCGGTGCGTTATAAACATTTATTTGATCGGCCCTATATCGGATGGTGGTAAAGTGTTTTTGGTGAATAGGAAATCATGAAATCGGAAAAAGCTCAAAAAACACAAAAAATTTGCTAGACGAAAAAACTTTCCACGCCATGGCTAGGGTTCTACTTTTGGTCAATACCAGTATTGGTACTGATATCGATATTGATATATTGATATTGGTACTGACAAAAGAAAATATCAATTCTGAAAAGCTAATATCGATATTAAATCGATACCGTAAATACTGATATTGGCCAAAAGCACAACTTTAACCATGACCACCCTCAAAAACCATTGAGACTTTTTGGAAATTCGAGTTTAAAAATGAGTTTCTTTTACTGAACACCCAGTAGATTACCATTTTTTTAAGCGCTTTCATTCATGGAAAGAAAAGAGTTTTATTCGGCCAACAATAAAATAACAATGGCAAAATTTAAATATGAAATAGTGAGGATCAAACATACACCGTGTTTTTGTACGCAAAGATTTTCTGAGTTGCACACTATTCGGGCTGTGCGAGTGGATTCTTGAGCACCAGGATCACCGAGTCACCACTAAAATGAATCTTTAATACAAAAATTTAACTTTAGGATAAGATTGCAACATTCAGAAGATAAATTTTGCTTTTATCGTTATCTATCAAAGACTGTTATTTAATCAATCAAAGTCTAAATCTAAATTTCGAACTCTTAACAAACAAAAGCAAACCGGAGAAACATTTTCGAAATGAAGCGATCACGCGCGACTGGCTTCGCCTTCTTCTTTCCTTTCCCGGTTTTTGGCAGCTCTGTCCACATCTCCTTCACATTTTCGAGCACCATATTGAAATGCCTAAAGTTATTCTGTAATGAACATGAACTACGATTTACCTGTCAAAAGCTTTCACACGTCCCAGTAGCTTCTTGTTGTTTCTGCAATTGATCAAAACCTAAATTCAAAAGTTTTAGCTCTAAATGTAGTGTCTTAACTCTTAAACACTAGCAAAACATCATGAATGGAACAAGTTATTATAAAAATTCAAATCCCTAGCCTGTGCATTGTTCTTGACGGATTGTGTGAGAATGGAGAGCGGTCCAACGGTGAATTCCTTCTCTTCTTGTTCCATCAACTCCTCCTGCGTCATCCCAGATCGTGGTTTTATCATACTAAACACAAAAAGTAAACGTGGCTCAAGAAAAGTCAAACCTACGCCATTTTGCTCGAGCAATTTAGCTATTGGTAGATGTCGCAAAAAGAGCTCTGAAAGAAAAAAATATATATGAGTTAAAAGTTTTAATAATAATAAGGAAGAAAAAAAGAGAAATACGCCATAACACAAAACGTTTCCTGCAAGTTTTACAAAATGCATGATAGGCTTCTTCTTGCTAGGAATTAGCGCGGTATGCTTATGATGCTTTAACGAAAAAGAGCACTTTTAAAAAGGTGTTTAGTAAACTACAGTTCTCCGATTTCAATGTTACTAACTAGTGCTCACATGTGCCCTCTATTGAGCGATATGGAAAATTGAAATCGACTGTATAACTTGAAAAACGAGTGAACAAACGTCATTTTTACCGTAACTTACTTTTTTATATAGGAATTTTGAGATCCATCGGAAAGTCACACCCTTTCGAAAATATTTCACAATTTCGTACAAATTCTTATAGCTAAACGTAAAATATAACAAAATACAAATGCAAAACACACTGTTTCGCGTCACTACCGCTGCATGATTCCCCTTTGACCAGTTTGTGCATATTCGCAACCAATTGGCCAGAGTCCGAAAACAAGTATATTTCTTTCTCACTAAATAAACAAAGTTTTTTACATATATATATATATATATATATATATTATAAAACTATTATAAAAATGAATAATGCTTGCTTCTGGTCCTTCAAAAAAAGATAAAGCAGAGCTATGGTGGCCGCATGAGCTTCGGCTGCGTCTGACCTTTCTGGCTCGACGTAGTCACTGATGTCCAGGGCACTAAATTTATGAAAATTTCTCAACTTTTATTAGCTAATTTAAACAAATAAACCGTATTTTATTAGACAAAAAGACTAATATTTTCAGGAACAATCTAAACTATTTTTTACCAGCTATAATATTCGGTACTATAGTCATAGCATAAAAAACTTACATATTCCACAAATCCTTGGCATCTCGGCCTGGCTCCTTAATCCAAGCGCCAATTCCGGTTTTCTCACCTCGACAAGCCGCGTCGGTATGTATTATCAACGCGGGCTAAAAAATCTCATGAGTTTAACTTTAAATAAAAAGGTACCTCGGTGGAATGAACTTGACGATTTGATGATCCTTGCCAGACGATGAACCTCCCAGAATCTAATATTAAATTTAAAGTAAAAAACATTAAAGTAAAATCAGAAAAGGGTTCACAATTGAGCGCGCCTGTTGGACCCAGCAATTTGAAGTATCCAAGCGTTTCGGTTTAGAAGAACCATCGTTTGCCGCTTGTGCGGGTCGCTTTCTGTCTTGTTTCTCCTTCTCGTCTTTCCCATCTCCACCGGCTCCTTGCCGTTTTCCTGCAAAAAAAAATTAAAAGCACGTAACTAGTAAAAACCAAAATTAAGAAACATGGCAATCGTTAACTTTAATGCTTTTACATTTTCTGATAAGTAGGCCTAAAACATTCGCAAAATTAAAAGAAAGAACCATCTTTCTTGCGTTGATATTTCTTTCCGCTTTTCATTTGAAATCATTCTTTTCTCCTTTTAACGTTGGCATTGCCACTGACCTAGAAAGAGAAAGAAAAACAGAAAGTTATCCAAGTGACAAAAAAGAGATAAACGAACGAGTTTGAATGACGAACAAATAGTTTAAATCGAACAAACAAATCTAAGAAAAGATATCAAGAAAATAAATCAAAATCATCTTGGGAATGCGGAAATGTGTAGAAAACCGAGACACTAAATATTTTGGAAATTATAGATGGGAAAGTTTACCATTCCACCATCATGGTACAAATCCTCTTGCATATTGAACGGGACGATTGAACAGACTCGGGGTATCACCTCGTGGAGTACTGATTCGAATACAAGATCCAAAAAGTTTGACCCCTACCTTCAATATTTATCTTCATCTCGGCCAAAAGGTGCATATTCGGGGTGCTAGCAAATCCTTTGCGCCAATTTCATTTGCGCCAAAAATTTTTGCGACACGTACAGTGCCGAGCAAAAGTCTTGCAACCTCACTTTTTCAAAAAAATCGATGAAATTTTTTTATAGAAAATGCCACCCGTTCGTAGGGCTTTTTTTGTTTTTAATGAGAATAATACATGCACACTTTATTTACAAAAACAAATTTGAAGTTCAGCGTAAAACAAAAAAGTAAATGACAAAACTACTAAAAAATACCCTAAAAACTGGGTGCAAAAGTCTTGCAACATTATACCGAAACATCAAAAATTAATATTCAATCGGTCCACCTTTTGCCAAAATCACTTCATTAAGTCGTTTAGGCATTGGGTCGACTAATTTGTGAAGAATTGCTGGGCGAATTAAGCTCCAAACTTTTCGTATGTAGAACCATAAGTCAACTTTTGTGTGAAAGTCTTTTCCTCGTAACTTTGCCTTCACGTAAGCCCATAGATTCTACATAACGTTCAAATCGGGCGACATAAGGGGTACATTGATGAACGAAACATTATTAAGGACAAACCATCCAGAAAAATGAGCTTGTCCTCCATTCGAGAGTTCCACTGCGCGACCTACCAGGAGCTTGCTCTAGTGATCTGGCGTATTGTCCTGGTAGAGAAACCATCCAGGACCCATGTGATCCTGAGCAAATGGAAGTAGACATCCTTCTAGTATTTCCATATACTGGCGAGCATTCATGGTTGACTGGACGAGGACGAGCGGACCTGCCACATTTTTTGTCAGTTCAGTCTTCAACCATTCCAGGTTGTCATCTCGTTCAATCCTGAGAGCGAGAATTCAACCCATCACAAGGAAAATCTCAAAATCTCTTTTCCAAAAACTCATCAAATTGAAGCATTTTTGAAATGAATTTTAAACTCTAATATTTCAGGTTCCGCTTTAGTTCAATTATAAACTATTTCGGGAATTGAACAGATAGATTCCTTTTCCTTTTCTGCTAAAATTCCGCGTTCCTTTTTTGTTCCGAAAGCAATCACATGCCAATTTTCGGCTTTTTTTTCTGTCCAGCTTTATGTATTTCCGAAAAACTAAATATCAACTAAATTTCCAAGTAAAATGTTTTCATTTAAAGTTTGCAAAGTGTTGAAAAGGTTTTACATTTAATTTCATCCGCTCAAATCCCTTTCGAGTGTTGTTTTTACGAAAATCCCCGTTGTTTTCCTGTCTTTGAACATCGGCCATCGGCTCTAGAAGAATTGCTGGCTTTGGAATTGCTGGAAAAAATGTACAACTATTCAAATGTACAACTTGTCTAATCTCACTTCAACGGAAACGGAACCTCTGGAAATTTTTGAGCAAAAGCTTCTTTTGAACTTTTCTGAATGAAACTAGCGTCTCTGCAAAGTTGTCCAATTCACCAGTTAAAGGCTGTGAGATTTGGTTTCCATGATTTCCCCTGATCTGGCCAGAGAACGAGCTTTTGTATATGTTTTTAAGCGTATTTTTTATCATGTGATGATTCATTTTCACCAATTTCCATGATTTTTTCCCCTCAAAACAACCTTTGTACCATAAAAGAACATTTGAACATTTGAAACCCATCAAAAAGTGGCGGAACTCATTTGTAGCTGGAGTTTGGCTAAAAAAAGTAAAAAAAAACTTCAATATTAGGTACAGCTGTTAAATCAGAATTTTCGGATCGTTACAATGTCCATTTTTAGTCGAGAAACTGGACAATTCCAAAAGCAGCTTTTCAATTAAAACTAGGTAGGACAAAGAATCACAAAGATCAGCCTAAAATTCGAATTTTAATCTAAAAATGGACCTTTCCAATCTCAAAAATTAAATGTTTTCAAATTTCAAAACCTATTTCCTTGGAGACAACGAACGGCTTATTTTCACCTTTTTGTCAAAAATCACAGTTTGAAAACGTTTCAAAAGTTGGACTACAGTCGACGTTTTTATAATTCTTTTTGTGACTCATTGTCAGTTTTTTCTTGCCTATCTTTACATATCTTCTTTTTAATTCAAATCATATTCAGATAATATCTGATGAGCTTCGATGTTCAACTACTGAATGCTCACTATATTTGGTTCCCAAATCCTTATGTCTATTACAATTTCACGGTAGATACACCGATTGCAAGTGAGGGGGATCGAAGAGTGAGTTTTCAAAGAAAATTTCTATCAATTATCTATTTGTTTAGCTCTATGGCCTTTGTAAACTTTTATTATCGCTTTTCTTTCTTGCACTACAACTTGCATATTTGTTGGTGAGTGGGATTCCTCCAGATTGTAGTGAGGGGACTTGTAAATGAGTAGACTGTGAGCCTCTTGAGTAGACTGTGAGCCTCTTGAGTAGACTGTGAGCCTCTTGAGTAGACTGTGAGCCTCTTGAGTAGACTGTGAGCCTCTTGAGTAGACTGTGAGCCTCTTGAGTAGACTGTGAGCCTCTTGAGTAGACTGTGAGCCTCTTGAGTAGACTGTGAGCCTCTTGAGTAGACTGTGAGCCTCTTGAGTAGACTGTGAGCCTCAAATGCTTTCTAAAAGTGCAGAATTATAGTAGCTTACTATTAGATTACGGTAGCGGGACTATCAGGAAACGGTAGCTTTAATCCATCACTTTTAAAAACACTTCTACTGAGAAGAACACACTCTACTGGTAGATGACTGAGGAAAGTATAGCTCTTTTGATTACAGTGATCAATAGGATTCAAAATAACAATTTGTCAATTGATAATCAAAATACTTTTACTCTTTTAGACACTAAGAAAGCGAAGAGGCTACGCGTCGAACTTTTCCTTCACTCTTTTATATTACATCGGAGTCATCGACACACTTCAACTAATCGGACATATTGTTGCTGGCTTCATGCTCATAACACTCATGAGTAGCTCAGAAGTCATTTATGTAAGGAAAAGGTGATCAATTTTCATACCTTGTTTCAGATCTTTGGTGCTATTCTAGAAGGTGGATATATCTCAACGGGTTTTTTGACAATTGCACTTCCAATTCATCGAGCTGCTTATATTATGTTTCCTTTCAAAGCGGATAGAATATTTCACCCAGTTCTTTTGAAAGTAATGCTTATGAAAGATATCTTTGCATTTAAATTTAGATCATACTCGGTCTTTACCTTGTCTTTTCTCTCTTTGCATTTGGCTATTTCTTCAATAAAGATGCTGGGAATACGTACATACCGGAATTGGTATATATCTACTATATATAAAGGGACTAAGACGTCTGTCTATCTGTCTATCTGTCTGTCTGTTTGCCTGTCTATCTGTTTGCCTGTCTGTTTGCCTGTCTGTCTGTATGTCTGTGCGCACTACTCCTCAGCCCCCAGTGGACCGTTTTCAATGATTTATAGTTCGTTTGGCTTAGAATCTCATGTAGTTTTGCAAAATGTTTTTAAATTTTTAAAAAACCAAAAGTGCTGACGCGGGCAGGAGTCTAACCCGGGTTGTGTGGGCTAGAGACAGGTGCGCTCGCACTGCTCTACGCGCTCGCAACTAAATGATAATTGATAAAAATTGAAATCTTTGATATTTAAACTGCGCCATCTACTAGTGCATGGCTGAGTGGTTAACGCGTGCGTCTCTCAAACGAATGGTTCGGGTTCGACTCCTCTCGCTGCCGATTCTTGTGCTTTTTGCTGCGAATTTGGTGTTTTGAATAAACTAAATAATAGTTGATAAAAATTGAAATTGATATCTTGATATCTTTCTTGTAAATCAAACACCTTCAGGTTTATTGGACTTTCATCTACAACCGTGACAAACCGGACTTGAACAATTATATGAGATTCTTTGAAGAATGGAGTACTCTGGCTCCAATCATTATCGGTGCCGTTCTTTATTCGCTTATCATTGCCAAGCTTTCGTTTCGCGTTTGTTAAGAGTCATTTTCATTCATTGTGGTAACTGTTTAGGTAGGGAAATATTCCAAGAAAGAAATCAAGTTGACAGCTCAAGTGTTTGCGATTCTTTTGGTTAATGCCTTCACGTATATCTATTGGTATCATATCACTGGATATGTGAGTCATTTAATAGCTGAATCAAACAAAATTCCACTTTGCATTAAACCAACAACGATCAATTCCAGGTTTACACAACCCAACAAAAATTCTTCTTGCGATTTATCGCGGACATTGTTTGGGTACTGTACAATGGAATGAATCCAGCTATTTACTATATCTTTCACAAGTAAAGTCTGACAAAGATTGCTCAAAGCAGTTTTTAGAGATATCCGTCATCAAATGAAATTCTTGTTGACATTAAAATGCATCAACACAACTCAAATGACAGTTGACACTGTTTCCACATCGGTTTGTCTTTTGAATAAGAAATCTTGAGTTAACTAGTCGAATCTGTGTTTGATTTTGAATGTTTTGAACGTTTGATCTTCTATTCCTATGGTAGTAATAGAGATTTTCAAAATTTTGGCTATTTTTAACAATAAATTCAAAAGCATGAACTTGTTTTAGCTGCCAGGAAATGGCAAATGGTATTATTTTTGTTTCTTTAACCTTTTCTATCTGTGTTCTTGTCTTATATTCTTTGTCTTATCAATCTTGGTTGTGTTTTTTCATGTCAAAATTGCCAAGACAATCAGTGTAATCTGAAATGATAAAAAGCGCATTTCCAGATTCCATCAGTCACCCACCCAGTCACAACGATGAGACCGCGAAACACAGCCGCTTCACAAATTCAATCAACAATTCCTAGAAATCGTGCCTAAAAGTTTTGATTTGTGATAAAGATTATATTTGTTTCAATTTCCTAAAAAGTAATGTTTATTTTAAACTCCTAGAAACAAAAAAAAAAATCACAGTTCCAACATGAAGAAGTGTAAAAAGCAAATGTTTAATTTGGACCTATTGTGCGTATGGTGGAATTCTAAAGGAATCGTACATTTTGAAGTTCTAAACCCCGGTCAAATGGTCACTGCTGACTTGTACTCTCAACAATTGGAAAGAGTGCAGCAAGCTCTTTGTCGTAAAGGAGAGGACACTTCGATGATTGAACTGCAGTTTGACAATGCTCGTCCGCCTATTGCAAAAATCGCACAGCAGAAGATTGAGAAGCTTAGATGGTCGACTGTCCCACATCCGCCGTATAGTCCAGACCTGGCTCCATCTGATTTCCATTTGTTCCGTTCGATGGCGCACGCTCTTGGAGAACACAAGTTCAAAAGTGTTGACGAGGTGCAAAAATGGCTCGACGATTCTTCTCATCGAAACCAGCTTCATTCTATTATGACGGACTTCACTCTTTGCTCGGACGATGGAGAAATGTTGTTGATTGTTGTGGAGAATATATCGATTAATAAAGTTCTCTTTTGTTAATTTTGTGAGATTTTGAAAATCGTGTCAAAACACGCATTACTTATTGGACAACCTAATACTTTTAGCCTGACTCGGTGATGATTTATGGAAATGATCGGTAGAAAATAGGTATAACTAGAAGAAATGTTATGCTAGCTTTTGAAAGTTGGCACGTTTTAGAAAACCTAATAATTGTAAGCCCCAATTACGATAAGTTTATTGAAGATTCAGCTTGTTTCTATTTCTAAATTTGATCCATTCACTTCACCCAATGTTATGTCAAATTTAAACGACATTCACTTCACCATATTTTCCTTATTAACGATAAATCTTCAATCTTTTGTTTCTGCAATTTTCTTTTCATTCTTTGACTTCGTTTCTTTATGAAATTATGGGCTTTGGACACAGAATCGAATAATTTCACACCTGAAAAAGCGAGATTTTCTCGAAATGTCATAAATTATCGGGAAGAAGAAAATTTTCTGCTTTATAAACCTTCTTATATTCCCCTAGGTGAATGTGGTTTTTTGGTGCTTCTCGTGGTTCATTATCGAAAATTGGCACTGATTTTTAAATTGTAAATCTTTTGAAGAATTTGTATTTTAGGACAGCAAGTATCCATTTCTTTTGACATTTTGAGAAAAGCTGTGACTTGGTTTAAGTAGTAAGTAGTAGTAAAGTCAACTTACTCATAAACCATTTTTGATTTTCAAATCTTTGTTTTATCAGATTACTATCAGTTTCCGAAAACCTAATTTTCAGCTTTCAATGGGCTTTGATACGAGGTTATTGGAGGTAAAATACCTCTATTTTCCCAATCCTTATGTCTACTATAACTTCACAAATGAGACAACGATTGCAAGTGATGGACAAAGAGTGGTGAGTTCGCCAGCAACTTCTTCACAATCACCATTTCTTTTTCAGCTTTATGGTGCCTCGAAATTCACCTTAGCCGTCATCTTGTTCATCTTTGAGATCGCTTATTTGATGGTTTTCTATTGAAATCAATTTCCATAACCATTTCTTTTATAGACATTGAAACGTCGAAAAGGCTATGGATCAAACTTCTCATTCACACTTCTCTTCTACATTGGAATTGCGGACTTTTTCCAATTACTTGCCCATATTGCGAGTGCTTTTATGTTGATGACATTGATGAGCAGTTCGGAGTATACTTATGTGAGGATACAAGAAAGAATAGAAAGCATTAACCTTCATATTTAGCTGATGGGGTCATTCCTCGAAGCTGGTTTCTTTATCACCGGCTATATGACAATGGCTCTTCCCATTCACCGAGCCATGCATATCATCTTTCCGACTACCATCGAGAAATACATTAGACCAAATATGTTAAAAGTTTGTTAGTTGCAAGTACTTAATTTGCCGTCTTTTATTATAGGGAGTTCTTGTCCTTTATCTCATTTTCGCTATCATTTCGTTTGGATATTTTTGGAACAGTGATGCCGGCATTGCTTACATTCCTGAATCGGTATTGTAAAAATGATTTAGTTCTAGACCAGATTTAATTCCAGGTTTATTGGGGCTTCACTTACAACCGAAACAAGACCGATCTCAACACCTATATGAGAATTGTCGAGGAATGGAGTGTCCTTGCGCCAATCGTTGTCGGAGCCATATTCTATGCGCTCATCATTTTCACAATCTGCTACAAGGTATTAGGATACAGCGACGCAGACACTTTTTTGTTCAGATGTACTCTGTGAATGTCTGATTATTGTGATGTCACACAATAATCAGACAGTTGATGTAACTTTTTACATTTAGGTCGGCAAGTACAAGACACGGGAATTACGATTGACAGCTCAGGTAAGAAATTTGATTTAGCGATGCAACCATTGAACAGATTGAAATTGATTCTAGATTGGGAATGTTTTCATCGTTTAATCACTAATTGACTTTGAGTTAATTAAAAGTTATTGGTCATTTAAAGTCCAGCTCAATATCCCTGAACTTTTCTCTTTAAACCAATAACTTTGAATTGACTCAAAGTCAATTAGTGATTAAACCATGAAAGTTACAGTAGTCTTGGCTGATTTCTTTTGGTTTAATGGTCTACTATTCAGACAAATTCTCATTAGTGACTTTTCCCTTTAAACGAATAAGAGCTTATTAGCACAAATCCTATTCTTTTCAGATTTTCGCCGTTTTGATTGTTTGCACAATTTGCTACGTGATGTGGTACAAATTTCTCGACGCGGTGAGTAGAAATTAGAGTTTCTAACTGAGCTCTATTCAATTCTTAATTAAAATTTCCCCTTTTTTTCCTTCCTTGTTAATTTTAAACCAAAAAGACCAATGTTTTTGTGAACTACAAATGTTTTTTAAAGAAAATTGGAAATCTCTTTTGGGATCACACAAAAACAGCCACCCACGGGGGAGCTTGGAAATTAAACAAAAACTTTTGCAATGTAAAACACTAATTTCAGTACAAAAGTCATCTCTAGAAGATTCTTGGTACTTTCTTGCAAAATAGATACTGATCTTCGATCAAAAATCCGCTATTTTCAGATCCGAACCGATGACCAACAATTCAAGCGTTTCATCTCGGATATGGTCTTTGTTTTGTACAATGGAATGAATCCACTCATTTATTTCCTTTTTCACAAGTAAGCTCAATTTTTAAATTTGAGAAACAGTTTGTTTCAGAGATATTCGGAGGAACATGAAAAATCTGATGACATTTCAATTCGCAAGAAATCCCACAGCTGTTACGGAGTCCACTTTTGTGGGTTTTCAAGCCATGATTTGAAATGAAGTAATAAGTATGTATTAGACAGATAAATTTAAACTGAATACTTTATAGTTAACTCAAGCGTTACTTAAAAGCTTTAGTTGACTGTGAAATTTTCCTTTCTAGGTCCCAACAATCGGCCTTGAAGCCTCAAGCACGAGCACTTCCAATCCTCGACAAAGAGTTTCCGTTTTCTATAACAGATAAATTTCTATTTTCTTTACTTTGTGTTACTCTATCCATCAAATCACACATAATTTCGAAATCACCCAGATGTATTCGATGAGAAAAAAAGCTATTTTCCTTTTTCATTACCAAAGACGCCATTCATTCACCAAATGAAATTGGCAATTCTTTTTAAAATTAATTTTTTGCTGTTATTTTTATTCAAGGATGTTCTTTCATTAACGATTCGTTACATCTAAACATTTAAGCATAGCTGTTGCTAGGTTTGGTAGAATGTTCCCTCACAACCATACAAGAACACGACTCACTTTCGTCGAATCGTTTACAACAAATACCAAACGTATCGAGGGAAAGAAGCTGATAGGTTAGACTATTCTGCGTACTTCAATCAGTTAACTGTAGAATTGTGTATCTCGATGAAAGGCTTTTCGGTCTATGGCCACAATTACAGAATCTGATAAATGGAGGAATACCACAAGTTCATTTTTTTCTTTTACAAACCTTTAATGCCTATTTTTAGAAAGGAAATCTTAAAGCTCATCTACAAAAAGTTAAAACAATCTCGATATTCATTCAAAACATGATTATGTTTGGCTTTTGGTTATTGGTGATTTTAAATGATTGAGTTATTTGAGAAGATTTTTAGCTTTGAAACATTTCCTTTATTTGACTTAAATTTGTATTCTTATCAAAAAGAATCGATTCGATTGATTGAATAAAAGTATCCATTATGGTGGAAAGAGATTCTGATAAAAGCTAAAGAACATTTTGAGAGAGGGTCAGGGTTTTTACTCGAAATTTATTGTCATTCAATGCGATTTTACACGCAAAAGTCTTTATTTTTGTGTTTTAGACAATTCCTTTAATCAACAATTGAAGCAATTCGAAAATTGCGCCCAAAAGCTCTGATTGGCCTCTATGGATATCTACTTTTCACAAGAAAACGTTCATTTATACACTAAAAAAAGCAAATGATCGGTTAGTTAAAGAAATTTTCTACTTTAAGAATCAGCTCTAGAGAGGCCAAAAGGGAAGGATTGCTCCGAAAAAGTATAATGAAAGTGTTTATTTAAAGCAAGATTATATTGCTACTCTTCTGTTTTACGCTGAAGTACAATTTTTGATCTTAAACTCAAAGCTGAATGCCTTGTCATGCACGCTTTGCAAAAGAATTTAGTCTGCTTATCAATTGCTGGCTTTTATCTTTACGTTCAGCTATTTACACTTGGAAAATTTGCGAAAAAAACATTGACTTTTCTCAGAATCTTCGAAAAATGCTTTTAAATCTTTTAAAATCTTTTTTAAAATCTTATTATTAGTCAATTTTATATCTGCACTTGCACCTTTATCAAAAAAGTTATTCCAATTCGTTTTAAGATAAAGATGGAAATTCTCGAGTATGTGCACGCTCTCTGGGGATCATTTCAGCTCTTCCTTTCCGATTTGATCGCTTTCGTTTGGCATTTTTCGTTTTTCATTTGGAATATTCGAAAGGAGAAAAAAGTTTGTGAACGTTTATATAATTTACAATAAAATTACAACAAAATCTTCTAGATTGTCTCTTCAATCACAAACGATCTCTTGTTGAAAAGTGCCACCGATTTGGCTAAAGAGATTCGAGAGAAAAAGGTTTACTTTGATCAACTGGTTGTGAATTAACAATCGATAGTAGCACTAGCCACCTTCACTTATAGTTAATACTCAAATTGCTCAGTTTTCTCTATCGATTTCAGGTAACTTCGAAGCAAGTCATCCAAGCATATGTTGATCGTTTGAAAGAGGTAAATTGCGGAGTTAGGCTATACTTTGTCTTGATCTAACTAGGGAATCTCTTGAATGTCAGTCAGGAGATGTCAGAAGCGATCTAATTCCGAGGTGATTCCTGGTTAAGAGCATCTCGAAACTGCTTTCAAATCCTACTTATCAGAGGCCATTTTTGAGATATAAGCATTCAAAATTTCGGCAAATTTTGCCAAACAGCAGCCTAGTTAACGTGTTCACGAGGACCGTTTGCTATGTCCCGGTGGCCTAGTGGGTAGTGTGTTAGGCCCGTCAGATACTCTGATCCTTGGTTCGGATCCGCGCTCTTTTTTCTCAAATACGCGACTGTTTTTCTTTTAGAAAAACACTCGAAAATGACCTTGAGCACTCAATCAAACAACAAAGTTTCAGGTGAATCCAATTCTCAACGCGGTTGCTGAAGACTACTCCAACAAGGCGCTGAAACAAGCTGAAGAGGTTGATAGGCAAATCATGAATGCATCGAAAGAGGAAATGGAAAAGGTTTACTCAAAAAAATCGCAACATTTAGAGAATGCATTTGATTTAGCTAGCGGAAGAGAAACCTCTTCTCGGCGTTCCGTTCACTTGCAAAGATATGTGTGAGATTGAAGGTTGCTTTTGTTAGGATTTAGGAGAAATTCGTTTTAGGAACCATAACGACTTTTGGTGCATGGAGTATGAGAAATCACGTGAGCGAAAGAACCGATGCGATGACACAAATGTTTGTTTTCATTTACAGTAGCTCTTATTACAGTACAAATTGCTGACACTATTCATTTCCAGTTATCTGAGCGCTGGTGCAATTTGTCTAGCAAAAACGACAGTCCCTGAAATGTGTATGTGGCTGGGATCAAATAATTCAATCCATGGAGTTACCAATAATCCGTATGATTCAAGGTTTGTTCTATGAAAATGGCACAAACTTCAAGCAATAAGTAAGGTTTTAAAATGTCGACTTTCAGAAGAAATTGTGGTGGTTCAAGTGGTGGAGAAGGTGCATTGCTTGGAGCTGGAGCTAGTGTCGTGAGTTCAATTCATGAATTTGTTATTTTTCAACGAAAGTTTAACAGCTTAATAGAGATGGAAATGGGGTTAGCTAGCTCAAATTATCGAGTGATTATGGAAAAAAGAGTGTAAAAATAGTTTTAGATCGGATTGGGAAGTGATATTGGTGGAAGTATACGAGTCCCAGCTGCTTTCAACGGAATTTATGGCTTAAAGACGAGTCCTGGTAAGCAAATCGGATTCGAATCAAAGAATCTTGCGTTTGAAAGATTCCAGTGCAAATTTAGGAGGTTTCCCATCTGATGGTGGCTTTGGAAATCCGGCCGAGAAACTCTTTGGAGTATTTGGACCGATGGGACGTTATGTTGAAGATTTGGAGACTGTTCTAAAGGTTTAACATTGCTTGATAGCTAATTGAAAATAGCTAAAACTTGCACAATTCTTTACAGCCTTTTTTTAGTCTTCCTTACAGCCAGAAAACAAAAAACGATCAGCCTTTTTAGAGCTACAAGGATACAACGGCTCAGAGTGCTTCTAACTTCTCTGTAAAAGAAATCCTCATCCCGTCCGAGTACTCGATCCCTTGGATTCCAAGAATTAGTGTGGAATTGAGTGAAGCAAACCAAAAAGTCGTGTTTTACAACTATTAATTCACTAGATATAATTTAGGTAACAGATTTCTTGGTAAAAGAATACGGTGTCCCGTTTGCTGGAAGCATCGACTTCACTCCCGTGAGAAAAAACTTCATGGAAAAATTCCTTGGCGTTTTCAACAATCATGGAATTCGAAACAAGATTCCACAAGGGACAATGAAGGGAATGTTTATGATGTCTGATGTAAGTGAAAAGAAAATCACGAAATTCTTTTCATTTTCCATCTTCAGGGCCCTTTCAACACTTTGACCGAGCTTCCAAAATGGCTTCTTGGAAAATCTCATCACACTCTTGCCTCTTGTCTTCAAATCACGCAATTCGATGTCTCGTACACTGAAGGGCAACTTGATGAGGCAAAACTAGACAATAATTGCTATAAATCATCAAATCATTTCAGCATTTGAAAGCTCTTGACGATTTCCGTGCCCATTATGACAGATTAATCTCAAATGACACAATAATCATCCAGCCTGGATGGCCAAATGTAGCTGATTATCATCATGCCGAACTTTGTCATCTCAATTTTGCCTATAGTGGTTAGTGGTCTTTAAAAATCACTAATTTAGTCTAATTCGATCATCTTTAAACGCTCTTTGAGGGAAACCGGGAAACGAGAAACGCATATGATCTTGTTTTTCAATAACATCAAGAGAACATTGTCTAGACTAGCAATTCTATTTGTTTTTCTATAACATTTTAAGTTCTCCAACATTTTAATCTCTGATTCTATTTTGGTAATTCAATTGTTGTCTAAGATTGCATTAGGAGCGAAAGTGTCAACAGGTTTTGAACTTGAGCTAATTTGGGAATAAGTAAAACATGGAAAAGGCAAAATATTGAATAAAAAGTAAAAAGAAAAAGTAAAAAGCTAAAGCTAAAGCTAAAAAAAGCAAAAGAAATCTTTGGTAATATTTTAGGCATTGTCAATTACTTGGGACTTCCTTGCATTGTTTGCCCGGTTGGACTGAACAGCGAAGGAATTCCATTGGCCGTTTCGGTGACACTTTTGCTTATTCATATCTATATTATTTCGTATCTAATTAAATCAAAACCCAAATTTAGTTCAAAGCTTACAAATCAATTTATAGGTGATCGGCCCACGCTACAGTGATTTTCATTTGATCGAGATTGCCAAGAAAATCCACTCAAAATTTGGTGGATGGGTGGCTCCTGAAAAAAGCGGACTGTAAAATATCAACAATGACTTGAAAAAGAATAAACTTTCAAAGGAAACTTCAGTCTTTCAAAGCCATTTCATTGCTGATCTCTATTTGAACTAACCGGAAAGAAAAAAAAGCAAAAATTCCAACAAATTACGAAAAGTCATCTCGATTTTGGTTTTCAGCTAAACGACGAAATTGGCGATTAAGCGTTTGGTAGACTACGAATTGGCGATTAAGCGTTTGGTAGACTACGTAAAACGTGGACCGATTTCTCTTGATGACTCATATTAGAACAAGGTCGAACTTTGGTACAAATCGTAAACTTTGTAAACAGCCTTTGTTCGCCAAAAAGATTTCTGCAAGATTTGCAAATGTCTGATTTAAATACCGGCTTTCTTTTTGTTCCAAATCGTTTTCTTTCCATCTTTGATCTTCAATCGCTCTTTTCTCCCTCTGAAAGATAAAGTCTTTCGCCTGAACATCCAATGTGCGTTCGTGGTGTAATGGTCAGCATGGATGCCTTCCAAGCATTCGACGGGGGTTCGATTCCCCCCGAACGCAAATGTTTTTTGTTTTTTTGATTAAAGTGCTAAATTTTTGTATAAATACTTTAGATAATCGTTCTAGACGTGGAACAGTTTTCTCGAAGTTTGTTTGAGTGAAGTTGGCCCACTCGAAACACTCTGAATTTTACTTTTTAGGTTTCAACAACCCAATTGTAGCTAGATTTCCTCTGGTTTGTGCCCAAATTCTTCTGACTCACTGAATTCTGCTATTTCTAGTCTAGTCAATTCAAGAGCGGGTTCAAGTGGGCAGGTACGGGCAATGTTTTGTCGGAGAAAAGCAATAGGGGAAATAAATGAATCTCGTAGGTGGACATGCAAACGTGATACACTGCACTCCCCAAAAATTCGGCAAACAAAATCGCCCCCATCAAACGGAAAAAAAGAGAAAAAAAGGAGATAGAAAATGGGATCGTCGATGGGGAAAATGGGGAGTCTTTCTTAACGGGGTTTGCTCTTGGCGTTGAGCGGGGAGATTCGCCGAATTTCTCTTCGTTGATCAGCCTTTGAAAATGTTTAGACGTCATAAACAAAAAGATTGGATTGAACATGTTTTCAGGCGCTCTATAAAGATCTTGATTTGTTGACTCCTCAATCATTGTCGGCTAATGGGAACAAAATGAAATATTCCTGATCTATATGATCTATTTCTTTTTTTGATTGATTTACTCTATGTTTTCTATAATTGAAGAATGATTTTCAGAGCTTTACCCATTCAATATTTGATTGTCTATCAGAACTATAAGGAAATCCTAATCATTCAATACTTTGCTTTCAAGTACTTTCAAGTACTTTCATTCATTCTTTCTGGCACATTTGAGCAATTCAAAGTGTTTCAAAAGCTGCTTATCAAAGTACAATCAGCTATGTATTAATATTATTCCGTTAAACAAGATATCTTGAACTTTTTTTTGATTCTTAAACCAATTCTAAATCAAAAACAACTACAAAACAGCTCAAAGCAGCTACAAAACAGCTACAAAACAGCTCAAAACCTTTTCTTTTTGTAACACAGATCTCTGGATTTCCTATGAATGCTCGTAAAATCGGTTTCATGATTCGTATCCCCTCCTCGTTTTAATGGATTCTCTCGTCGGTGATCAGTGTTCAATCGTCCTCTTTTCAGCCGTCTTTTTCGTGTTTTCAATCTCGCCCTATCACAAGATCTATTTAGCATTTTTAGAGGTTATTCGGCTATCCACAAGCAGCTCTAAAACTCCTACTAGTTTTAAAATTTTTAAACCTAAATCAATAACCTTTGAATCAAAAGCCCTTTACTTATCACTACCTTTACTTATCGCTCAGAGAATCAGAGAATCAACCAAATTTCCAATTCAAGAGTGAACTTTCTGATCTTTTCACTTAACATTTCAATTGGTAATGTGATAATTTGCTTAAAAACTTTCGAACGTCTTTTTTCTAGGACAAAATTTTTTCTTTACGACAATGATCCATCAAATTCGTTCAAGAATTACTTCCCATTGGAACACCCAAAAAAGAGTGGGCGAAAAAAAAAAGAGAGAAATTTCCCCTGGTGTTCGACGATTTCATTTCGGTTCTTCACTTGAACTCTCGATTAAAATTTCCCCATTTTTCATTTCTCTATTTGAACGTTTTTTGTTTCCTTTTGAATTCTTGTGTAGTTTCATAAACATTCAAATATTTCAGATATCATTTGCAAAATGCCTCCAGGTGAGCGAAAAGCCAGCGTTTCCTCGGCAATCGGAAAGCCTGAACTGAGAAAGTTCGTTTTACATTTAAGTCTAGAGTTTCTAAAATACAATTCCATCTTTAATCTTGCTCAAAAAGCTATCTGATCTTTATAAGTAATATTTTTAGGCCCAGTCTTGCACAAGAGCTCGGTCGATTGTTCTTGAGGAGACAAAAAGAGTGAGTTTCATTTGAAGAACAGTTAAAAACGAACTTACGAGAACTAACTAGAGAAGGTCGCGAAATTGAGTTGAACTTTTAAAACAAAACCTATCCTATCTTTTTTCAGTTTTTTACGGGTTTTTCGAATCCGTTTTTAGTTTTTCTTAAATGCTTTGTAAACGCAAAGAATTTGACTTTAAAGTTTTAGTTGTCTCTTTGTAAGACTTCCTCCTTGTAAGACTTTATAAGACTTCTTTCTTGCCTAGGAAATGTCGCGCTTTGGCCGAGTGCTAGTGCTCCGGTTACAAAGCTCTCGTGCTTTGTAACCGGGTCCACGTTCGCTAGGTCCACGTAGGTCCACGGTCGTAACTAGGTCCACGTTCGCAACTAGGTCCACGTTCGCAACTAGGTCCACGTTCGCAACTAGGTCCATGTTCGCAACTAGGTCCATGTTCGCAACTAGGTCCACGTTCGCTTCCTCGTGGACAAATTTTTGCTAACTTTTTAACCAATAGTTTTTTCAATGGGAAACTTGTTTTCTTTTATATTTTATATATTTCTATCAAACCACAATCAAGAAAAAAATAAAAAAGAGCACTTAAAGTATTTGAAATAAAGCAATAGATAGAAGAAAATGCTGAAAATATCTAGATTAAGCACCGAGGTACACTCATTGTACACAAAAATGAGAGCTATGCACTTTGAACAGTTAAGCTTGATCCAAATGAGAAATATTCGAGGCTTAGGCTATTTTGCGTCATATAAGTTAGATAATTAGATTATTAAATTGAATATTTAGATAAACAATCGTATGTCACATTTTTACAATCAATTTTAGCCAAGGATCAACGGACAGTGGTAGTAGTGGAGGTAGCACTCCTGTCACTCGACAACCGCCAATCAATCTTGTCACTGCCAAGAAGAAACATGTCTATTGGTAAAAGAAATGTGACCTGTCTGGCTTTTCATTTATAACTTTGATTTCTTCCCATTTTCTTGTCAGTTTATCCATTTTTGTTTCCCCTTTTTATTTGTTTGCTAGATATTGCCTCGTTGATCTCATTTTAGCGCATTTTACGTGTAAATAAATAAATGGAAATAAAAATTTTATTTCTAGAAATCATTTAACCCAAAGGACACGTGCAAATTCCCTGATTACAGGGTAAAACCAAAGCAACCAAGGGAACACTTTTTCACTCCACAGAAACGCTGATTTTGCTCGAGAAGTGTCTCGAAACCGAGCCTCTCAAGAGCCTGAAAAATGACAAAAAACTGTAGACAAATTTACTAATCCTACTTCAAATATTCAGTTAACATTTCTATTTGCTAGTTTTTCATTAAAACAAACCCTTTGACAATGGCATTGCCCTTTTTGAAGGTCACATCCACCAATCAATCCACCGCAATCCGAATCCTCGTTACACTTCTTATAGTTGACACAGGCCGCACAGTTGCACCTATAAATGCCTTAATAACTGAAATAGTATTCAAAGTTCAATGAGTTCAGTAGGACAATGACTTTTCTTTTTGACTAATAGTTGAAACCAATGGGATCACTCACGTTCCCGCTTTGTATCCATTACAGTTACCGGTTCCAACTCCACAATCGATATCCGCATCACACTAAAGACTGTTTTCGAGTATAAACATCAAGATAAACATCAAGATAAACTTAGTCAGAAAACTCTTAGTACTATTTCAAAGCTTCTATGCACAGATAATAACTCCAAACCTTTGCTCCGGTCAAACAAGTGCCAAAAGTCTTCGACTTGAGCCCAGGATTGAGCACCGTATTGTAGAGGGGAGCACCGATGTATTTGCACTAATCAAAAGTATGAATCAAGAATTGTTTAACAAATCTTTATTTGATAATCTTTCAAACAAACCTCACAAACGTATTTCCCGGTCCTTTGTGCATCCTCAACTTGCTCAAGAGTGACTGGTTGAGCACAGACCACAGAAATGGCAACAACAATGAAAATAAGCGGATTCATTTCAGAAATCACTTGTTTTTTTCTTTGATTTCCGTTCTTTATATAGTATTTTCTCCACCTTGAGCTTTCCTATTCAAATCTCGTCATTTATCTGCTTTTTCTCCTTGATAAAACCCGCTTTTTGTCTGTTGATGGAAAAAAAAAATCAAAAATGAAGGTCTTCTTTTGATTGGAATGAGTCATTTTATCAAGAAATTTGCATTTCATTGAAGAGTTTGAAACAATTTCTGAACAACCAAACAACCCAGCTATTTCTGAAATTCTTCCAGTGATTAAGGATTATGTTCTGATTCCAACTGTGTCCATTCTCTTGTCACACAATATTTATAGTATGAGATTGAGATTTAATAACACCGAGAATATCCGTTCAATGGACTTTTTTGTGAACTCTTAAAACCCTGGTTTTGCAGAAAAAGTTTCTCTTTGGAGAACTGTGACGATTGTGACGAAAAATGAAATGTAAATGATCAACAATTCGAGATAAACAACTAAACATCGAATTGGTGCACAAAATTTGGGAAAAAGGCTTTAGACAATGACATTAGACATTGAGCTTATCAACCAGTTACCTCTGATCAAAATTTCGTGCGTTTTTAGGAAATTTAATGAATCATTGAAAATTCAAAATAACACTTACTGAAACGCCAATCAAGCATTAACTTTTTTCGCAATTCTTGAAGCACTACTTTAAACTAAAGTATCTTAGGAGTCAAGAGTCAAGAATCAAGACTTTTGTTCGTCAGTTTTCATCAATCAGCATCAACATTCACTCAAGTCGCGGAATTTCCCAATTCCATCATTCCCAAGTCACTCAAGTGTTTATTATTTATCTGTCTCCTTTTGGAAATCAACAATGAACACTCAAATTCGTTTAATTTGTTCTTTGGAGATTTTGAGAGAGACTTTTGGAATTTTCAAAGATTTCTCTCTTTCTTTTTCTCCAAATTGTGTATTGGTGTTTCTAGAAAAATCTCCTTTCAATGAATACCCAAAAAATGGGAAAATCATGTGAATACAACTTACAACGAACCATTGTTGCAACGTAATAATGATCTCGCTGTGGTTCTTTTTTTGAACCGCTTTTGACCACCGTCTAAACTTTAGCTTGGTCCTCAAAACCAAATAAAGAGCTGAAAGAGAAATAAACAGATTTCGGAGAGGGTTTACACAGACAAATGACGTCCTCAATAGAAAAATATTGCAATTGCAGACTCTTCAAGAGGATCGGTGTTGGAAAACAATCAGACAATTAACAATAATAAAACAATCCGACGCACAACGAGTACGTAGTTTGAACAAAAACCATTTGTCTTCAAATCAAAACTCTAAGCACTAACAACTCTTAAATGCTGTCCAACTAAGAGAAAAAATGCAAAAAGAATCGATTTCGACTTGTCAATTTTTTGTTGATAGGTCGAGAAATTTTGTCTTTTGATCTAATCAACTCTCCTAAGATATCCCAGTTGCAATTGTTCAAATTCTACTCTCCCGGGCCAATTTTTTTGTGTAGATTCCAAAAAACACACTTTCAGCACGATTTGACGACGATATCGCGATGAAAAGTGACTTTGAAAATTTCTAGGTTTCAACTTTGGTGTTCAGAAGGGCAAAAAAACCCTGAATAAAATAGAAAACATATAGAAAAACTGATACCATCTTGTAGAGCTCAACCTGAGGTTTCAGAATATATAACACTTATGGGTTCTGTCGAGTACATTTATAGATATGGCGTATCAAAGTTGGTGAACTCCATGGCCAGCACCGTTGATGTTTTGATTAGATCAAAAGGCAAAATTTCTCGACCTATCAACAAAAAATTGACAAGTCGAAATCGATTCTTTTTGCATTTTTCTCTTAGTTGGACATCATTTAAGAGTTGTTAGTGCTTAGATTTTTGATTTAAAGACAAAAAATTTTGTACTCGTTGTGCGACGATTACAAGAGTTGAAAATCTTCATCGATTTGACGAGCACGGGTATTTGTTGCAGAAAAGTTATTGAACTGGTAAAGCAGACCGTGATTGTCTTTGTCAAAGGAATTGTTTCTAATTTTTCAAATTTCTTTATGAACTTTTAAATTACAGTCAAGAATTATCCGAAGGTGCCTTTTGTCAAAAATTCTGTGGAATAAATATAGAACAAACAAAACATAGAATGTGTCTTGTAAAAATGTTTTCTACAGAATAAAGTTGAATTTGATCTGACCTGATGTCAAGCTGAACACCAGGAACCAGCTATGAGAGTTTTGAAGATTACACTACGGTCAAAGGTGAGCAGATTTTAAGCACAAATCACTAGGGTCAATGAACTTGGTCTTGAAACGTGCCTTCACGATGCTTCTTTGTTTAGTCACTTCCTGGCTTCATCACTAGCCGGAAATCGGGCCTTTCTCGTCACAAAAATTGCAAAACATCAATGATGGGATGTTCTCATTTCGGCCACTCATCGTCATCACTCACCCACAAAACTCTCCCCCTTTTTTGTCCTCTTTGTTGAATGTGTGGGGAAAATCCCCCAATTTTCCCCTCACAGACCATCCCTCCGTATACAGTATAAATGAGACCACCTAAACCCACACCAACAATTTAACACGCATTTTTGAAATTTTCTCTGACTTGAATTTCCTAAGTCAACACTTTGAAAGTCGAAAGCGATGAGAATGGATATGAACAATGGGACAAATGGAGTGGTGAGTGGATATCTTAATATCTTAATATTTGTGACAAGATATCTTAATATTTGTCTTTCAACAAACATTAAGATATCTTGTCATTTTCCTAATGATTTTTTCAAGTTCTCAATCTGTCCACATTCTTTCGCTCGGAAATCTTTGAGCGACGAAACAAACGCCAAATTTTTTGCTAAAGAAAATAAAAAAACCAATGATCTGACAATTGATTAAATGAAAATTTTAACTGAACATCTATTAGATTTGTTTTTTTTTTGACTTATCATCTTACCATTATTAACTTTTGAGCTTAACTCTTCAATTTTCAACATAGATTCAAGATATTTTAGCATCATCGCTCTCCACTCGGCTTTGATCACATCAAATTCATCGTTGGCAATGCGAAACAGGTAAGCTAAATGATTATTCTAGAGATTCGAAATGATTCTGATAAAGTTCAATCTATTTTTGCTGAAATTCTCTTGAAACTTCTGAATTTAGGCCGCTTTTTGGTACTGTGCAAACTTCGGCTTTCAACCGTACGCCTATCGTGGATTGGAGACAGGAAGTGCTGAAGTGGTCACTCATGTTGTGAAACAAGATCAAGTGAGTTGAAGTTATTCTATAAATTTTTCGATTTGGACTTAAGCTTTAAGTCCTCTTTAGATCGTCCTGGTTTTTGAAGCCCCGATTAAACCAAACAACCAAGAATACGGTCAATTTCACACACGACATGGAGACTCGATTTATGATGTCGCTTTTGAGGTAAGTGAAACTGAAAATTGCATGTAAAGCTTTTGTTTTTGATTTCTAATACACAAAAACTTTTTCAGGTAGACGATTTGGAGACAATAATGGAGCAAGCAAGAGCAAGAGGCGCAAGAATCGTTCAAGATGTTACAGTTGAAAGCGATAAGATGGGAACACTTAAATACGCATCATTGCAGACTGTAAGTTGTCTACCTCGATTCTTTTGTTCAAAAGAATCGAGGTAGACAGTCCTGATCTTTCTTTCTGATTTCAGTTCTTTCTGATTTCAGTTCGGTGACGTCATTCACACACTCATCGAGCGAAAAGGCTATGACGGCTTTTTCATGCCTGGCTTCAAGCGGCATCCGTGGAATGGAAAGAATTTCAAGAAATTGCCCATCGTAAGAATATCGATTTTCCGATTAAACACTTTTCTATAACAAAATCGAGACTTGAGCAACTGATTAAGAGCGGTCAAGAGCAACTGATTCTAGACAAACTTCCATGTGATCGATCATTTTGTCGGT